TGTTTTCTTATCAGGTCAACCATTTCATTTAGCAGTAAGCCTGACTATCTCTACATTCATTCCTTCCACTGCAGCCACAAGTCGAAATTCCCATACCGGGTAATACCTCAGCGCCTGTAGAACCAACCCCTGAAGTTTCTACTGAAGATGAAGAAATCCATGATAGCGAAATTTCAGAGACCCATGAAGCTGAAGGTTCAAAGGCTCATAAACCTGATGAGACTATAGGTAACATTGCTCAACCAATTCTCCTCTCCTTTCTCTTTAACAACATCTATCTCTTATGCTCATTATCACTTACTTTACTGAGAATAGATGAGATTTTAGATGAACTGGCAAGGGAAACTTCTCCTGATCAATCTCCAGATCCGTCTCCTCTGAACCTTCAATCAAGTCCTCCAGCAAGCCAGGGTATAACCCATCCTGATGACCAATCAGCCCAACAGGTAATGCCTTGTCTCATACTATATTTTAGCAAAATTACCCAATCGGCTAACACCTTCTTTCTTCCTCTTTGTCTAGAAGAACATCACTAAACCGACCACCAGCTACTCCTTCTCTATTGAGGACTACATTATTGAGAAAGGTGAAGAGATCACTTCTCATCAAACTTTGTCACTGGAGAATCAGGCTCGGCTAAAAGAAGTGATTATTCTGCTGAATAAGGATACCATCAGTCTGGTTCAGGATGCAGACCAGATAAAAGACCTCCTTGAACTCATTGATCAAGATATCCCTTCTGCTCTCAAGGCTCCCCTAGAATCTGCAGCCCATCTTGATGATCACTTTGCTATGGTGAGAAGGGCAACCAAGAACATATCTTCGAGGGCCGCTTTGCAGAAGGATAGATCTTTGAAAAAGCTGGAGATTAAAGATCTTCACTCTCATATCCAGACTACGAGAAATTCTTTGGCAACCTTGGAGCCTGAACTGAGATCCATGGAGGATGAAAAAATCAGACTAGAAGCTCAACTAGCCGAACTGAATGCCAAAATTCAGTCTCACAGGGCCCACATAGCCAATCTGCCGAAGAACATAGAAGCAACTTCACTAAAGATAGCTTCGACCATCAAAGAAGACCAGCAGATCAAAAATAAATTGTCCAGCATCCAGAGTTCTGAAGATGAAGATCAAAAAGTGCTAGATAATGTTAGCCGAATCAGGACTGAAGCCATAGAAGCAATCAATCATCTTCTGAACCAGTAGACATTAGGCTTGTAATAAACTTTAAGTGTGATACCCTTTTTTCCTTGATTAAACAACTTTATGTTCACTTATTTTCATTCGTTCGGAAAAAAGCAATCGGCCATTTTCCCTTAAATTACTCGATTAGAATATAGCCGATTGTCTCCATTCTTCCGATAACCGAACGAATCCAATCCAAATACTGTGAAGGTATAGCCGAACAATGTTGGCTTCAATAAATCATGGAGATATTCAAGCGACGTTCGACTTAACTCAGACCTGGCCCAGTCCAGTAACGGTCCATCAAAAGGGAGAAAACCTACTCCGCCGTTCGGGATTCTCGCCCCACAACCCCGTGGAACTCGCCACGATCCCTCGCTTCGGCTTATAAATAGACTTTTCCGTTGGCCTTCATCACTATCTTCGCCTCAGCGTTCTCACATCCGTCTCTTCCACTTCTTTCATCCGATTCACTCCAGAAGGAAACCCTAACCTCCATCAAAGCAAATGACGAACAGTGGCAACCGTGGCAAGCGTCCTGCCGACGGGGAAGCTGAAGGAAGCAGGGCATCGCGCTGCCGGCGTCGTGGGTATGATTCGGCTTTTTGCCCCCTTTGCAACTTCCTTGTTCATCTCTTAATTTCGATTTCCTCTTTCTCATTCATCAGGATAAGGGTCATCAGCTCCAGCCAATACCATCTCCTTCCTCCAGTAACGGCAGCTCAACCGGGAACTCCATCATCCGGCTCCTCCGGGTCTTCCAGCTCCTCAAGCTCCTACCACTCCAATCCTTGGGGTTCAGCAGAGCCAGCAGACGCACACCATCCATACTCTCACGAGGAGGCGCTCAAGTTTCGCCAGGAGAGGGACGAAGCCCGGGAGGAGCTAGGCGACGTCTCCAAGAAGTTCGGCATTGATCAAGCCGAATGGGAGAACCAGCGGAAACAATTCTGCGACGCCATCACCGGTTTGATATTTTCATTTTAGTTTTGTCACCCTGACTTCCTTTGCTTGTCGACCCATTTCTTCTTTTCTGCCCAGCTCTTTCCGCGGAGAATGACCGCTTGAAGACGGCGGCGAACAAGATTGCCGACAAGGTGAATGCTCAAGGGGAGACATCTGAGGCACGCCTTGATGCTGTGGACGGCCGCATTGATCAGGCCGTCATCCAAGGTGTGCACCTCGGCGCTTCTCTCGGGCTGGCGGCAATGACCTCCCAAACCAACGAAGACTACTCCTCCCAACCAGTTGGCTTTGTTGGAGGACGCCCAGACGAAGTTGACGACATCGATGAGCGTCTGGAGGCCTACGACGATCATGCTGCTGCCCTTGCCGAAATCACAAACCCCCAATCCGTCCTCAACAAGTTATTTGAAGAGTAGTTTGTATTAGGACGAACTTTATAAATAATCTCATCCTTTAGCAGTTCCCAGCAGTCTCTTACAAACGGGCAGAACAGGAAGAGATGTTCTACAGTTTCCTCCTCCAAAAGGTTGCAGAGGACACAATTTTTTTAATAGTCAAGGTGCATATTTTTCCTTCTCAGGATATTTCTTGTACTTAGCCTGTCTTTCAGAAGAAGGCAAAAGAAAACTTTGTTTTTTGGCTGCCAAAGAGTCCACATCCATTTGTTAACTCTGTGCACTGGAGTGGTTTCCATGATTTTCCTGTAAACTTTTGTCGAAGATTATAGACTCGAGTTTGTGGAAAGCCTCCAGATATCCCTGTTTCGGATAAGTTCAGGGGAGATCAACTCAGCGGCAAGATTTTGCAACTGCCCATAGGCCACTTCAGACAGAGGCAAATGAAAGAGAGTTGTGAAATGGCCTTCAATTGCTTTGGCTATTAAAATTGACTTGTTCTTTGGAAAGGAGAAAAGTTTAGGTAGTGTACTAGAAAGTGGCTCAGATTTCCAGTTGTCCTTCCAAAATAGACAAGTTTTTCTATTTTGTACGTTCACTTGCATTATTTCCTTTTATGTGCTCAATAATTTCAAAACCACCATAAAGAACCTTTCTTTGTTTGGCTTGGTAATTTTCCATTTGATCATATGTTAATTCTTTTTTATTTCCCACTCCTTCCCGAAAGCATTTCCCCTCTAGCAGAGTCAAATCTCTGGTAAGTTCCTTCATGTAGCCAATAGAAACCCATAAGATACAGGAATGCTAGTGAAGTTTGTATTAATCAAGATAGATCTCCCTCCACATAACAAGTGTCCACATTTTTAGATCTCTAATCTTCTCTCTATTTCCGCCTCTTACTCACCTAATTCAGCCTTAGTTAATCTTCTGTCACTTGCCGTGTGCAATTGAAAGCATAAGCTATATTCTGACTTTCCCTGTCATTGAGACCTACGGTAAACACTCTTTGAGTATCCTCGTTCCAGACATCTCTTCATAACAAAACAACAAAAAATTCATGTTTAGTAATCTCTTGATCTGAGTAGTCCAGAAACAGAATTGTGTCGTCTGCTCACTACAAATGAGTGAGACCTCCCTCCACTAACTCTGGTAGAATCCCCTTTAACACTCCCTTTTCATCGAGAAATTTCAATATTTAACCATGAGTTCCCAAGCCTCTCAATATTTGACATCAAATTCGTAAGCCTTTTAATATTTGATCCTATACATGCGAATTGTTCCCATCTAAGGGATTATGAAGGATTTCTCTCTCATTTCTTATTTTCAGCGGCCTCTTTACACTGTTTATGACACAAAAATGGCAATATTACCCTCTCCTCTAAGCCGGTGGCCTTGCTGCTCACCCAGCGCCTTGCTTCCCTCGGTTCGCAAGCTTTTCTCCCCCAACAACTTCGGGCAGGCGACGTCGGGCAACCAGGGACAGCCGGACACCGGTGGCGGGCGGCCTACGGCAAGGGTCGACCACGGCTAGCCCAAACCCTAGCCGTTGGGCTAGGTAAGGGTGGCGGGCGGCCGGGACCTGGGTGGGGCGAAGTGGGGCTAGGCGCGCGGTAGAGAACTGGGCGGGCGGCGACCTCCGTGGGCGTTGTCGCGACGCCTTGCGCAAAGCAGAAACATGGACGAATGAGCGTGCTTTCGATTCCAGGGAGAATAGGTTAAGGAGGTAGGGGTACTTTGGCCTTTTCCATGCCCTCAGGAGCGACGAGATATTTGGAAATAGAAAAAGAGGAAACATGAGAAATCTTCCGATTGAAAGAATTCGCGTGCACGAGATCAAATATTGGAAGACTTGCGAACTGGATGTCAAATAAAGGCTTGCGAACTCAAGGTTAAATATTAATTTTTCTCCTCCTCACCGGCCATACCTTGGTGTGAACTGAAACGCCATATTCGATTCGATGCATCATGGCCGCACAATTTCTTCCCTAATCATTTCACTCCGCGTCAAAAAAACTCAAAACAGGTGACGGGACCCGGCCGTCCACGGAGCCAAAGCATACCGACGGCTCCACAGCATTCCTTCGCCGCACCGCTTTGCTTCCTCGCAAAGCATCGGATCAGAGTCGCGTCGCCGTCATCGACGCAGTACCGGTACCGCGGCATCCTTCGCCCCGCCCGCGTCCCAACGCCCAGGTCCCCATCACCGTATTCGCATCGTCCGGCAAACGGCGACCAGCGCAAAGACCTCCTACACGCCGTTGCTTTTAGTTTGTTCCCTCGCTATAAATCCTGCCAATCCTCCACTCTAGACGTATGCGGATCTGGCTTCGTGGAGCAACGACATTCGGTGGTGCTACTCCTGCTGCTCCCACTAGCGGTAGTGGCCGTCGTCTCGCCGCCGCTTCCTCTCCCTCCCGCCGCACATCCGCTCACCGTCACCGGACCGCGTCAGCGATGGCCGAGGCACACAACGAGCGGCGCGTGGGGATGGTGGGCGACGTCCGGGACGCGCCGGCGGGCCACGAGAACGACCTCGAGGCCATCGAGCTCGCGCGCTTCGCCGTCGCCGAGCACAACAGCAAGACCGTAAGACACGTTCCTTTGCACCTTTTTTTAAGTTGAGATCGGAGATCGGAGCCGTCACTGACGATGTATATCTATCACATGTATGTATAATACACGTGCAGAACGCGATGCTGGAGTTCGAGAGGCTGGTGAAGGTGAGGCACCAGGTGGTGGCCGGGACCATGCACCACTTCACCGTCCAGGTGAAGGAGGCCGGCGGCGGCAAGAAGCTGTACGAGGCCAGGGTGTGGGAGAAGGTGTGGGAGAACTTCAAGCAGCTGCAGAGCTTCCAGCCGGTCGGGGACGCCGCGGCCGCCTGAGGTACAGCATCTTTCACAGCACAAGAAATGCGTAGAAGGGAATAAAGACTAAAATGGTTCGTTCTGTAGAACCTGGTATTAGCAAGCTGCGATCACTGTTGAAAGTTCTCCTTGTGCTTGGGCAACCATGTTTCAGGTAGTGAAGGTACCATCTTCCAGTGCCATGATGTGTTTTTCCCTCAAGGCTCACAAGCTTTTCGCTGGAGGCTGGAGCACAACGAAATAATTTAGCTGTCAGACATGAAATACATCCCACTGGAAAAGTATAATATGATGAATAAACCAGCATCTTACCCACACGTATTGTATCCTATATGAAATTGACTCCTGTAATGGAATGAGCTGTGCTAAGTAATCTGAAAGCCTTCTTGCTTTCTATGTTGCCATACATGACACCACCAAGAAATTTCTCAACTATCCAAGGAAGCAAAAGCATAATTAACATTAAACTGGAGAGCAACTGGAATGTACAACTGGTACTATCTGCAGAAGCACTAGCTGTTGACGGAATCTAACTTTAGAACATTACAGTCAACTAGTTGAACGACCTTAACCTCTGGAGTCTGGAACATTATAAGCTACATCAGCAGCTTCGGCGGCTATGATACAAATGATACATGAGAACTGCTACAGAGTTAAGTTGAACCTACAGTTGTCCTGCTATTCCTACTTACCATCTCTGAAAGCTATAAAGGTGGAGCTTAGTCTTCATTGTCATAATCCTCATCCTCCTCCAATCTATGGTTTGTTGACAAAGCAAACTGGACAGGGTCCATCTCCATCTTGTTCATGTCAGGCAGTTCCCAAGCACCAAGAAAGTCCTTGAGTTTTGTTCCTTCCTTTGACTGTGGAACAGATGGTCCAGCAGATGGTCCAGGTCCTGCAGTGGCTGTGGCGGAACTAGTTGCTGGAGCTGGCAGCTGGGCTTGGGGTGGCACTGTAACCTCATCCTCTTCATCAGTTGGATCTAAATTCAAGTCAATGTTCCTTAAGGAAGCCCTGGCATTGCTCACTGGTGTAGTAGCCACTTTTGCTTCAGTTGCATTCGGGGCCTCATCTGCTACCTCCACCTTTAGGCTGGCTAGCTTGCTAGATTGGTTCTCCGCGAATTGTTCATGAGTTGTGACAACCTCCCGCCAAGCTCCACGTCCACGGCGGCCTCTCCCACGGCCCCTCCCACGGCCTCTGCCATTGCTTGTATAGCTTTCTGTCCCCTGCACAAAAGCAACTCATTCAGCAAAATGAACTCAGAAAGTCTAAGGCTCAATAGAAAATGGGATTATCATATTTGATAATAATATGAAGTGAAATCTGGAAGACAAATATCAGCAGGAAATTTAGTTCTGACAGATACTTTAAGTTAATAGTAGTCAAAATAGACCACTTTGTCCATCCTTGGGACTTTCAAACCGACCAATCTAGTCACTAAGCTCTCTTTTTTTGGCTCCAATATATCCTTACACTGACATGGCATGCCTAGCCAGTGCTGGTCATCCTTTGTTGAGCAATCACGGAAGAATTCTCTTTTACACTTGTTTTGCTATATTACTAAAGGAATATATGATGTAAGGTAATCTCCAACCAATGACTAATCTGCTCCCTTGGCAGCTATAAAAGGATGTCTACAGATATATTATGTGATAAGTGAGAGTACGATTAACAATAATCCAACAAGGAACATATCAGTAATCAGTAAAGAAACAAAAAGGGTAAAAAATAGTTAAGGATGCTCATAGTCGATTGGACTGGGATATTGTTGCATCCATTCCCTTACTAATTGAGCATAACAAGAGCAAAAGAGACATTTCATGTGTGATGAAACAGCAACGGATGTCCACGGGTGACAAGGCATGCAATGTGGCATGCCATATGGGAGCAAGGACAGGTTTGAGCCCCAAAAAGAGAAAGTTATGGAATTGAAATGGCCGATCCAAAAGTTCAGGGACAAAATGGAGCCTCTAGTAAAACTTGAGGGGTGAAATTGGCTATTTCGCCAAATTTTCTAAAAGATGTATAAGGGGCGTACCCAGTGCAGAGAGCTCCCGCTCTGTGCGGGGTCTGGGGAAGGGTGTTAGTGGCAAGCCTTACCCTCGCCTGTGCAATGCGAGGAGACCGCGACTCGAACCCGGGACCTTATGCAACATCCACATAGAGTTATGGTCTTATGGATAATAGTGACTTACATTTCTTGTCCTCTTTAATTCCTCCTCCCTTCCATCTTCTTCAGCTTTCCTGATGACAATTCGACATCTATTAACACTTCGTGGAAGATGATTGGGACATGTAAGAACCTTGTTAACTACAAGATAGATAATTTACCTCCTTTTGCCAAGCTTATCATCAGCAATAACATCAGAAGGACCAATGTCTGGAACTTTGCTGACTACTTCAGTCAAGAAGTCATAGACATTGTACGTTTGAATGCACTGTTTCCTGAACACATTAAGCAAAAAACTTAATGAGTAAAAGAAATGATGGATTAAAAACATGCAAAAAAATGATACTACAATCCAGAAAATAAGTTCATTTTCTCTCCGTACAATGACATTACACAACCTATACCCCAACCCCATGCCTTGCCAGCACTTCTCTACATATTTCCCCCATCAATCAACAGGCCATGCGACACACACTTAATTTTTCTTTCTCACAAGACTAGGATCATTATAAATATCCGCAAAGAAAAAATTTACAGGATTCGATCAAAACTAATGTGGACCCTAAACAGCAGTTAGTACACAGGATCACCAGATAATAATGCCTGTACAGAACCCATGCTCCTGCCAAGCCAAAGCAAGGCCTTCCTTGCCAATACCAATATATACTGAAGTTTATTGCTTGCTTGTACATGTGACATGCAAAATCAACGTGCAACAAAGGAAAGACTAAAATGTAAAGCAGATACATACTAATAAGCTTCTTTTTCATGATATCAAGTAGGGCTATGCACTCATATATATATTTTCTATAACTTGCTCCTCCCTCTTACATTGGTCAAACGAAAAACTATGCCCAAACTCCATATGACAAGAAGATGGGTCAAGTAAACTTACAAATGGGAAGAACCCACAGTCTTCACCCCCTTTCGAATTGTAATATCATATGTCCGATCACATAAATCTTGCAGAAATAGCTCCAATGCTTTGGCTACAAATCAAGGACATTGAAGACATGTATGTTAGATAATTTGAACAAAATGTGGACAATGCTAAAAGAAATTATATTGATATTGAAAAACAGACTACAAAAATATAATAGGCTAGTTAAAATGGCAAGACAAATCTGGAGTTACTTTGCACAGTATGCAGACATATCATCTCAAAATCTGGAAGCCAGTTCAATTTAAATAAAGAAAAGTGCATGTATCACCAGCGGAAGACAAAGCAGAAATTAGAGTACAGATATCAACATATGATTTAAAGCATACTTTGCAACTGATAAATTACCCACACTATTTAAAACGGTAGTCCTGTTTTATTTTCTACATCCACTACCAAATGGAATTATGGACCAATTTAATCTTGCTACTACATTACTTAACTTTCTCCAAATAATATGTTGTAATGATTGATGAAGATTGTGATAACTATAGCATACTGCATCATACTTCATCAAAACAATTACAGAAACAATAGAGAGCTATCACATTTTGCTTGGTAATACTTATAAGTACCTAAGCTTTCCGAAGAGAACACCTGACATTACATAACAATATTTTGGCACCAATATCAAAATCAAAGAACCAATTAAAACATTCTATTTCTGATAAAGTAATACACCGACAAGCATGGCAAGTACACGCTTTACATGAAAATATAGTTTAGTTGCATGTGTTTTTATCCTTTTGGTCTCCTAAATTAAATCCTAATCAATTCTTGGATAACAGAATCATAACATGGCGGGAAAAAGATTCATTCTGCAGTGATTACTGATTAGTGAAAGAACTATATGGCTAAAATTGATATAGTAGGATGCCAAACAGCTATCTAGGTAAATAAAAAGGGCGTACCCTAGTGCAGAGAGCTCCCGCTCTGTGCGGGGTCTGGGGAAGGGTGTCAGTGGCAAGCCTTACCCTCGCCTGTGCAATGCGAGGAGACCGCGACTCGAACCCAGGACCTTCCGGTCACAAGCGGTAAGACTCTACCGCTTGCACTAGGCCCGCCTTCAGCTATCTAGGTAAATGGTAACAAAAAAAATAGTAGATTGACTTACACACTAGAACAGGTACAGCTAAAGCAATCTTGCCCACATCTTCATCTGCTTGCATGATCTTCTTAATCCGAGGCTGTATGTTAAAACACAATAAGTCGACATTAGATCAACACAAGGTATAGTCAAGAAGTTACTTGAAGCAATGTTCGTAATTATGATTGTCCCATACTAAACATCAACTGCCTTTCCATTCCACACTTAAGGAAAAAATGAAAGTGGTATGTAATCAATTTGTCTACTTGCTTTGCGACATGAGGTGATAAACATCAATCCTAGCATATGTAGAAACATAATTTCAGAGCAAATGATAGTGAAGATTGCATCCCAAATGACTATGCACCACATACGGGATTCCATGTGAAACAGACTTTTGCTGCCTAAATAAACTGATGAGTACATGATTTCTTTTGAATATAAATTACACCAGATGATTATACCATGCTTGGAATCAGATGGTATCATAAAACCGGCATTCTCACAAAACTAAGCTGATAATCCAGTAACCACACTATCAACCACCATAGGTCTAGAATTATAAGGGATTGCAGACAATCGATAATGGTTAAACTAGCAATGGTGTAGCTTAACGAACATCCAAAAAGAATATTATTTGAAAACTTCTCAATGCATCCGTACACCAACAATTTTGCTCTTCATCATTCCTTAAATTATAACAAATCATAGAATTATGATCTGGTAGTTAAGCATGCAAGTCTATAAACTAAATCTTCTCAAACAATACCCTCCGAGGTAACCTGATCCACGCCAAAAACCTATCACAGAAATGCTGGTGGTAGGAAACAAGACCTAAACATTACAGGACTTTGTACAGATCGACTACTTAGATCTACAGCGAATTCACAAAATCACCAACCAACCAAAGCCCACAAAATCACCAACCAACCAAAGTCCTGAAGTATCCTGAACAAACCACAAAAAGTTTGTTGAAACACAACCATGCATACCACGAATTTAGAGCATACCGCTCCAGTAGAATCATAGGGAAACCTTTCATGAGGAAGAAAGAAAAAGAAATCGCAAGCAAACTTCACCATCAGAAATTCAAACAGCCACAGGCATGACACAGGCACACGTATCCGCACACATAAGCACAGGAACCAGGATACTGGAATTCAAACCGATCGCAGGATCTGAGATTGAATCTTACAGCGGGGAAGCGCGTGTCCAGCTTCTTCCTCATGGCGCCGACGACAAGGCGCTGGAACCAGCGCCGGAAGCCTCCTCAACGGCGGCGAGTGCCGCGACCGGGTGTTCGATCGCCGCGGGGAGCGCAGCTACTGGGGACATGGACATCGGATCGGAGGGGAAGAACAGGAACATTAAATAGCAGTTCGGGAGGGATTGAGGGATTTGGGGGATTAGGGTTTCCGTTACCGGCTTTAGTGTTTGCCTCTTTTGTGCAACACAACACCTTTTCCCCCAAATCGTTCGATCCGGGGCCGGGCCGCGCGAATCGGGCCAAAGCCTCCTCCGCTCTCCGTCCCGAGGGATCTGGACCGTGGACCCGGTGCATAGTCCAACACCGCATTGAACACCACGCGAAGTGCCTATGTACAAACAGACCGGGTCCACGGAGCTGGTTCTCGCCCACGGTGACCTCACCACAGCGCGCGCGGGTAGTAGAACGCGGGACGGGAGGGGAGGCGCAGGCCCCACGTCCGTGGACCTTCCGCGCGTTCAGCGCAGCCTCTCGTTCGTTTGGCTATCCGCGGGCGGGGTGCGGGGCCCGCTTGCCAGAGCGGGGTTGGGTGGGCGGGCAGAGCCGTGGCGCTGTTGGCCTCCCGTGTCCGCCGTCCGTCTGGTCTGGTGGCGGGGAATCCGACGGCTCACCGAGCGGCCCGGACGCGCCTAGAGTCCTCCCAAATTTGGGGCAACCAACCCCGGCTTGGAGTCAGCCTTGTGACCTGTGAGATAAGGACTTGACGCGATACCACGTCATGTCACTTAACTCCGTCATCTATCCTTTTTCTTTTTCTTCCATCAGAAACATCCTTATCGTTTATTGCTTAATTTTATACTAGCAGGTTAAAGATAAAAAGGAAATTAGGGAACGCCAACGAGGCAAAGATTGCCTAAAACGAGAACGACGCACCGCCCTCGAACCTACGAGAGCCTCTAAAGTTGAACGGTGTCACGGATATTCCCGTTTCATCGCTTGCTTTATTTATGTCAAAAGTAATACAATAATTTATACAATTTTAGACTTAAACTAAAATCAAAATTTTAAGCTTGCTTGATTTAAAAAAATGTACTCCCTATATTCTACTTTCTACATTTCGAATTATAAGTCCTCGTGGCTATTCTAGATGTATTTGTTTTTGCTATGTATCTAAATCAAAATAACTTATAATTTAGAATAAACATAGTAATTTATAAGTCATTTTGGCATATTTAGGTACAAATATTTTTACTATATGTATCTAGTCATAGCGTGAATCTATGTGCATAATAAAAAGTTATGTACTAAAAAAAACTAAATTTAAAATTTGGAACGATGAAGCAGCACATTTATATCTCTATTGGATTTAGGACTTGTTTGGATTCATTAGTTGTTAATAGTTATTAGCTAGATAATTACTCATAGTTAATATTGGCTAGCTACCTATTAGCTGGTTTGGTCCAACCAAGTGAGATAGTTGTCAGTTGAATATTTAGCGAACAATTAGTTGGATGTATTGGATTCAAAGGAGCTAATTATTAGCTCTATATGGATCCAAACAAGGTCTTGCCATGAGAGTATATATGATTAATCTAATGATACTTATTCGAGGCTTGTATGGATCCCATGTAGTAGCTATCAATTAGCTGCTAAAAATTAGATGAGGTCATGTCTGGATCCTCAGCTGTCTCACCTACCACGCATGTAACAATTAGCTATTAGTAGTTTTTCCCAGCTAACACATTTGATAGTTAAGTTAGTTGGATGGATGCAAAGAGAGTCTCAATACTACAACTGTTAGTATTTCTTTATAGATTTGACCAACTTTAATGACTCTTTAAAATGAGAATTGCTCTTTTCTTTACAACAGATTAGCTGCTAAAAATTAGCCAAGGTCATTGTTTAGATTTGACTAATAAGTTGACTGCATTTAGATGCCCTGGTCCTGTTGGTGCCTATGAGTGGAGAGTAATGCGGTCTCAAGAATGCAGGAGCAACGTACTGGAGGACTCAAAATAGCATATTCCAGGGTATGGTGGGCCGAGAATTGGAGGTGTACATTGATGATATTGTTATTATGGCTCAATCCGAGGAACAACATCTCCTTCATCTGAGGAAAGCATTCGAGAGAATGAGGCAGTATAAGTTTCAAATTCATCTTTTGAAATGCTAACAATTAGCTATTAGCTAGTTTTGTTTACAGCTAACACATTTAATAGTTAGATAGGTGGATGCAAACAGAGCATCTATACCATAATTGTTACTATTTTTAAAAAACATTGACTAAACTTTAAATTATTTGACTCTTTAAAAGTAAGAATTATTCTTTTTAAGAACGGATGGAATATCTTTGTATATCCTAGTCTCTTTACCTTAATCTTCTGCCATGCAAACCATCCCCTTGACATTATTCTTTATTGACTACTTGTGTTCCTTGTCAACAAAAGACATGTCGCGTAGAAAGTTGTTGATAAAACCTTTACTTATCCAAAGCTAGTTTTATGTATTCTAAATTATAAGTCATTTAATTTTTTCTATATACATAGTAAAATTTACATATCTATACATACACATATATCTAAATACGTAGTAAAAGATATGTACACAGAGAAACCAAAACGACTTATAATTTGGATTAGAGAAGTAGCTAATAGCTAACACATATAACTAGTACTATTATTTAAAAAGGGACATTGGCCTGGCTTCCATTTACGACATTATTAGGCTAATCCCAACCCATGATTTCCATAAATAGTTTCTAGAGGTGTGTGAGTGAGAGAGCAATAAATATCAATAGAAACTAGCCTTCTTCCTAGCTCATGGTTTTCATAGTAGTTTTAATGCAGGAAAACAATAATTAACCTTATGTGTGCACCAAAATGGGAGTTGATCAAAGTATGGCAAGTAACAAAGTAGCTCTTGTGTGACGTCTCTTCTCAAATATACATCTCAACTTTCATACGCAAGTACATAGTAGTTCGTACGTTAAGAATTTAGCACCAATGCCATGATAGTAAAATATTAACTCAAGTACAAAATAGTTTATACTCAAGTGGTAGCATACTTGATAACACAATTAACAACTCAAAATCATACAAAATATAATAAAAATATCGAATTAGGTAGCTAAGATATGCGAATGCATAGCAAAATGTAAAGGTCGTCATCATTCCATCATCTTGATGGGCATCAACATCAGGAACAACACCATCTCCTATTGAAAGCTCCTTATTTGGTTTTAGTAATTGAGTGACAACCTAGGTAGACTAATGTGTTTAAATATGAGATACACAGGTGATTAGTCCACATGTACACTTGTGTGAGCAACTCATGCCATGATGGTGAAGATGGCTTGGATTTGTTGCAAGGCTCACACATGTGATGAAGGAACTCATTGCATATGAGACATGACATGGAGTCATGTGACTAAGGTGGAGAAGATTAAGATAAGACTTGGCTTGATGGACATGTTGCAAGCGTGAAGGGCAAGTTGGAGGCTTTGGAGCAATGGACCATGTGGCGGTGAAGCTTGAGCAAGACTTGGCGTCGATGGACGAAAGCAACGGTCAAGAGCAAGTGAGGTCAAGATCGATGAACCAATAAAGTCACGTGATGATATGTAGTGGATCATATCATTTGTTGATCAAGGTTGGTGCATGTGTTGCATCAACATTGAAGGAGATGGAATGAAAAACGCAAGGTAAAGGTATAACCTATTGGGCATTTTATTTCACCAGTCATAGCTGTGTAGAGAAGTTTATGACCGGGTTTATGATAGATGGTCATACTATCAAGAGGGGCAAACTTGTTTCTATATCAGTCATCTACTACCACTCGAGTGTGTAAGGGACCATGACGCCTAAGAGGGGGGGTGAATTAGGCAACTTAAAAATCTACTCTAAAATAAGGCCTCTAATTTCACCTAGTCAAAACCTACGTAGAAAAGTAATCTATCTAAATGTAAAACTATGATATTGCTAGGTGTGTTGCTATCTCTACTGCAAAAGAGTGATGCAACCTAGGTTACAATCCTATCAACTAGTCTATCTGATGTAGACAAGGCCCGATCTTTCGATAGGTACGATAGCATCGATTGGTGGAGACTCGACGTTCACGATCTAGGCTTCAAACCAAGACTGATTCGCACCCCCACAACTGTTACACCACAGCTCCGTTGGTTATCAATCCACGCGAACGCGATTGACCTCACCGAGAAGGCTCTCCTACAAGCGAATCGAGAACACAAGCAAGAACGGGATGAACGCAATCTGAAATTGCAAATAAATATAAGGCTTATGATAACGAGAAAAAGTTCAAGTCTTTATTCGAAAGGACTAATTGCCACAGGCGAACAAGATCAAGAACATGGGTCCTGGTTCACAGCAAGCAGCCTTGGCGGCACAGTTGCAGCAAAACAACGTCTGTTTCATGAGAAAATCAAGAACTAAACAAAACCCCAAACCCTAAGGAGAGCGACGGTTGCTAATTATAGAGCCCTGGACGTCACCCTCTTGGACGTGCCCCCTAATGGGCTCTAAGATGATACACGGCCCAACGGACCAAAAGACGGTGTCGCAGCACCCTGGCAGATTCTGGACGCTGACTTGTTTTGATGATTCCCGTTGATTCCGAAGGGTTTTTGACGTGAGACCACTTGCATTGACTTCCTTATCTAATTAGCTTTCCATCCATATGTGGATCGTTGAAAATGGAGCTCGGACGCGCCCGTGTGACTAGTTTATGACAGACTTATCTTGGAACCCGAGATGGACTCGAACTTGATTTGGGCCTCCACCTTGGTGACTCGAACCGGATGAGCTTCAGGCCTCCTTCTCGGTTAGGACACCCTCGTTGATCTCCTTGGTCTCCATATGGTTCTCCAAGCATGGTCATATGTATGGAGGTCATGTCCTCCTCATCATCCTCCCTTTCTTGATGAAAAACCGTTCTTGACGTCAATTTTGTTTGAAGTCAATCCTGCACAACATGAGGACAAACGAGGTTTCCAAAATAATGGGAAT